AGAGAGAGAGAGAGAGAGAGAGAGAGAGAGAGAGAGAGGATGTGTTGTGGTTATGTTTCTCTTTCATCCTTCTGAGCAATTTCAGTATCCGGCGCCAGTCGCCTTGTCCTTCTTGTTGATCGAAATCTCGGATTTTTCGTTTTCCTGGCTTCCTTTCTTCGGAGACTGACATGTTGATTGTTTTTCCACACCCCCCGTCTCTGTCTTTTTAAATCGGCAAATCTATTTGATTGGTTCCCAGCGATTGAGCCTTGTGTGATCTCTAGGTTGATTGGCCAAAGGATTGTTGCATGATCCTCGATTCTTTCCGTTTGTACGTAAGCTAGATGCATGGATGATAGGCGTGATTTTGTCTGTGTGTGAATTGGATAGGCATGCTAGACTATTAAGATGACCGTCCCACTATGGGATGATCCATCTCGTGAATCGTTGGCTTTTACCCATCTGATCGAGGGCAGATCCCGCACACGCACGTGTAGGCTCGACCAAAGACGATCGCTGCCTACACGAGCGTCTGCGAACCCTGAACTCGACTAATTTCCCGAATGGCTGATGTTCCACCCCGACTTGCAACATGAATTTCGGCGTTCCCTTTAGTCAAGTTTAGTGTCACTGACCGCGAGTGTTTGAGGGATTGGGAATTCCGGGAATATTGGGAACACTCTTGTTTGCCTACAAAACCCTGGGCGGAACCTCCTGAATTTCACTACTTGACGAGGAACGAACGTATTTGTGAGTGGGACCTCGACAAGGCTTTGGGACGAAATCCCCATCTCTCCAGCTACTCTAGCCCATACACGTGTCACGTCCTCACAGGCCCCGAAATCATTATCTTAGGGACCAAATTCCCTCTCTATCACCGCATCGGCGCATCCTACCCTACCACTCCCTAATCATCGTCCCGTGGTTCGCAATCGCTCCTTACTGGCCCCAACCCCCGTGCTCAGAGTGTCTGCGGGAACACGAGTACCGAACCTCCGGCTTCATCCGACAAACTCGTTCGGAGGAAGAACGACGGGCACACAGTCTTTGATTGAGGCCAGCTTTGTCGAATTCGGAGCGACATTCA